CCCTCCTCCCTCTCTGTTCCTCCTCCCCGTTCTCCCTTTTATAGTCCTCCCTCTCTTCCTCCTGCTCCTCTCTCTCTCTCTCTCTCTCTCTCTCTCTCTCTCTCTCTCTCTCTTTCTTTCTCTCTCTCTCTCTCTCTCCTTCCTCCATTCCTTCATTCCTCTCTTTTCATTCCTCACATTTGATTCATGATGCCCTAATATTTATCTGCATCATTTTATGCACAGCTGTATTTTGTCACTTGGGTTTCCTAGAATACTAATAATTTAATAAAATAATTTTTATTTTTGCTTTGTGTACATTTTGTATTTTTTCCTCCCCTGCAGAATTATGACTTAAAATTATAATTAAAGAAATCCATCAGTAAAGACAACGGAATTTTCATGTCTCCATTAGTAAAACCACCACTCAGTTTGTACTTTTGCTACCTTATCACTTGTGTTTCTTTCCAATGTTAAAAATGTGCCTATAGTTATAGCATTGATAAACATGGAATTACTTTTGAAAGACTTTTTTTTTTCACTTAAGTTATTACTAAGTGATTGTGGTTTAACACAAGATTCTTTTGGTTTAATCTCAGAATCTCTGTGAATTTATCTTTTCCATTGGAACAATCAAACAGTAGTCTAATATGCTTTAGTTTGTACCCTCTCAGCCAAGTTCTGTCTGCATTAACCAGTTTATTCTATGACAAGTTGCTTAACAGATGTCATTCTGGGGAGAACAATGAAGCCAAATACTTGTGCAGTGGCTAACATTACTCTAACTTTGATCACTTTTGTTCAGCACATCAGTCTGGCATTGTGCTTTATACCAACATAACACTATAGCCAGAACATGCTTTTCAGGCCTAGAATAGCAAAGGAATGTTATTCAATTCAGTGCAGTTACAGATGAGTTAATGAAAGAAGAAAAATACTGTTTATTTCATAATACCATATTGTTGTGTTTTGGAATTAAGGTGGAATCTAAAGAATCCCACTCTGAAGTTATTTGTATACTCAACTTATAGTGTTTGTGTATACTATCCTATGCTGGGGTAGCCTTGCTACAGCCTTTCCAACAAATAAAACATTGGTCCTGCCTTTTTTTTTTCCTTTCAAAAATAGTTGATGAAGCTTGGTGTATCTAGGCAACATATTTGAAAAATAACTTTAAGAAAGGGATATTTTTGGCCTTGAGGACTAAAGTCTTCTCATATTCCCCTCTTTTGTCCTTTCCCTTTTTTTATTACTATAATGCTTTGGGTTTATGGAACACCTTTCTCCTTAAAAGTGCAAATGTTTAAGCATGACAAAACAGTCTCAGCTAGTGGAAGTGGTCAGAGGTTAGCCCAGTTGCATTTGGTGAAACTGTTGTGTTGATAATGACTAACGAAAATTTCCAAACTTAATGTGACTGACCATAAACAAAATACTGCATGGTAGACTGACCATTGCTAAGAACCTCTGAAGAAAAGCTGTTTGTTTGAATTGAGTGAGGATCAAGCCATGCCCCCAAGCCTCTCAGTTCTCACTTACTAAGTCTTTTTTCACAGGTGTACATTAGAGATAAAAATAGATTGAGTTCCCCTGTTGTGTTTTGGTTTTTTCCTTTCCCCAGTGAACATGCATCTCTGTTTCACTGGCAATGTAACTTAGATGTGTTTATGTATAATAAACAGTAATGTGATACAAAATGCTGAAATTGGACAACATGATATTTTAGACTTTTGCATTTTAAAAACATGAATGAAGACTGCTTGTTTTCCATATTGAAGTCTTATTATGTAGAACATATTGTGCGAAACATCCAATACTAGCTTCATTTGTTACAGTAGTGTAATCCCATAACTATCCCGAAGAGTTAAGACATAATCTCTCCATTCTTACAATTTGATCATTTATTTTATTTTTATATATGGAACAAAATAGAATTTTTATAACCTATTTAAAACTGAAGAAAGATATGATACTTCTTAATTACTGGAGAACATAGAGTTTATTTAACCTTCCAGTATTTTATTCTGATAAATTACCTACCCCCACTTTTTTTTTTAAGTGAGTGGTATAATATTGCATGTTGAGAAAAGTAGTTTTTCATCTTTAGCAGTATTTAAAATAAGTATCATTACTGTACTTTCTTTTCAGGAAGGGCTTAAATAGTATATTACGGATAGCTCTCAGTTAATAAATATTCTGTTGAAATAGTTTTTAATTTGGCATAATTTCAAAGAAATAACCTGTGCTGCTTTATTAATAAGTTTTGATATCTTTGAAGCTTACATCAAACAATAAAAATAACTTCATGATTTCTCTCCTTTCCCTCCAAAAAAAAAAAAGACCACTATTCTCTTTCCCACATAGAAACTTGAAACACACCTTTTGTTTAAATTATTGTACATCTTGAGTCATTTCAAAATTAAATAGATTATAAAAATATATAATTATAGTCTGTTTGAGGTGTACTATGTACTTGTAGTTTCTTAGTTGAAAAAAACTTGAAACCATTCAGGGATATATAAAAACAATTGGCAGAGAGGGGCATGTTTCTTGAACTGTTATTTCATCTAGCCTTCACTGAGAATCTGCTTTTAAATTTGGTTTAGATTTGTTTTACAAAAATTTTCTGACTTGTGTTATCCTAGTTTTAGATTCTTCTTTTGAATCTAGAAGAAAACAGAGGAAATACAGTGTATACCACATAAATTGGCAACTATCCCGAATCATAGGGAAACCTGTTTTAATTGTGTTGTCTCTTTCTTTTTACAGGTAAAAAGAAATGTGTATGACCTTACGAGTATCCCTGTTCGCCATCAGTTATGGGAAGGTTGGCCAGCTTCTGCCACAGATGACTCAGTAAGTGACAGTTGACTTATCAGCTTTATAACTTCTCTCTTTTGCCACTTTCTGTCTAATTGGCTGTGATAATAAGCAGAAACAAATACTTTGAATGGTCCATTAAAAAAAATTTATAAATCAAATGTGAAAATAAGGAGTTGTAATCATTTGAGTTCACTTACAGAACAGATATCATAAGCCAAGTATATCAGCATTCTGTTCATAATACTGCAGTATTAAAATCGGGAACTTAATGCTGCTTGATTTGACTTAAATTTTTCCTTGATGAAAACAATATTCAGATATTGCTAATGAAATGTCCCAAACATAAAAAATATTTTTCCTGAATGACAGATATCTCAAAATCAACCTAATCATTACATATTTAATTTTAAAACTACATTTTTCATAGTAGACTAGTACTTTTTTAAAAAAGCTAATTTTTTACGGTTAATATTAATAGGACTTTATTCTTAAATATACCCATAATTTTCACTACCATAAACATTTAGTTTGTCATTTTTACCTGTTATTATATCTATTTATAATGATTTTTTGCTACGGTAAATTTTTAAACCTTTTCTATTTCTTCCCTGTTTCTAAGTGATTATTCTTTTCCAAGAAAGTACATTTTATCATCTAAGGAGGCCGACTGAAATGGCGTTTTGGCCACTTTTACCCATTATCTTGATTGTTCTAGCCAGATGCCCATTTTTTAAGATAAAAATGAGAATGTTTCAAGAATTCTGAAGTTAAGTCTAATTTTTAAAATAAATGAGGCTGAAAAATTGAAAGTTGGTAAACATCTTATAGTAATAAGTACCCAAATAATGATTTTAAGACTTGAAATACCTTTTTGTATTTTCTAGTAAGTATTACATTTCTATCTGGATAATAATTACTCTTCTTCTCTAAGCACTGCCATCATACATTTGTATATGAAGGAATTCTTTGTGGAAGACAGAAACGTTTTTAAACAATTTGTGTATGTAGATGCTACATGCGTCTAATTATTCCACAATCTAAACACTGTGCCTTTGGGAAATGCTTTGTGAATCATGAAACTTTAAAATAATCAGAAGATAACAAAGCTTTTTTGTAAAGTGAACCCTTCCAAAAAAATATTGTTTATGTACAGCCACTTACATTTATTTCTAAACAACTGATTTGAACATTGATATTATAGTATATCATTAAATTTTTTGGCTGGTTGTCCATGGCTAAGAGGGAGGCATGTGGTTGTTGGTTTTAGTTTGTTTTTCTTTTCCCCTGGTGGAGTGAGGAATTTGACAGAAAATGTAGTACATTTAATTTTAGAAAAATAAGATAGTAATTTTCATAAATGATAGACTTTCCTGAGGAGACGTGAATAAACCACAAATGTTTTTAGCATTGTCTAATAACCCAGTACAAGAAATAATAACATTAATAGGAGAAAATCAGATCTCAGCATGCCACTTAAATTCTCTGAGCTTCCATTACCTCTCATTTGCAGCATTGTTATAAGGATTAGCAATGATATGTATATAGTACCTGGCTCATATTAGACACTCAATAAATGAGGTCAGTATTATAATTAATATTAACATAACTCAGGAAAGGATCGCAGGCAAGAATTGACTGGTTTAAGTAAATGAAATGTTATCTGAGATTTGCTTCAAAATAACCTATGGGGTTGGGGATTGAGGGAGGATAAATCCAAGTTAGCTATCTACAGTATTAATCATTGTTAAAGCTGAGTGATGTGTATATGGGGTCTATTATACTATTCTCTCAACTTTTGTATATATTTGAAAACTTCTGTAATAAAAAGTTTAAAGCAAAAATAATTGTCTGGCTTAAGAGCAAGAACATCAGGTAGTAAAGTCCAGAAATGTAAGACTTCACATTTGGGTTGGAAAAGCCAACTGCTCTTGGATGCCACACTTGTAGAGACCAGTCAGTCTGAGAGAGGCTTATCAGGTACAAGTTCCAAGAGTGATAGGCAAATTTAGTGAAATACGATAAATCCTTCTGTAGCATAGGGCCTTATACGTTTTAAGTATTAAATCATTGAATTGAGTTCACACCATCTTTTATGAGGCCCATGTTTTAATGATTGTTATAACATTTAAATTTTTACCAAGAGTTCTAGTGCAATTTCATCACTATAGGAAAACAGGTAAAACTCACCATATCCAAGATTATAATGCTACCTGGTCCTGTATCTAAGTCACAGGAAACACAAGAGGTAATCTCCCTAAGAGGCTTGATTCTTTTTGCCTCATTATTCATATTTGCACCTTGTCCCAGAACCTGTGAAATGATGCCTGCCCACACCTCCCCAGAGCAAATGTTGCCACATTGGCAGGATGTTGCCTTGTGCTGCATGATTTGATACAACAAAGATGTTTAGGGCCAGGATGCTTTTAATTGGTGCCATAACAGATCCACTAGCTCCAGTGCTTGAGTTTTGGCAAAAATGGCTTATAACTGTAGTCTTCTAAGGAGACCCTAGCCAAAGAAATGTCGTGAAACCTTTCTTTCATTAGGACTATAAAAACTCATAAAGCTGGTGCTTGGAATCTGTATTGTTGCAGGCGATGATGTTTTTATATTTATTTAAATCACTCAAGTGGAGGCATCTGCTACAAACCAAGATTGTCCTCACAGCTTAGGGCATGAAATGCGTACAGCTGAGAAATGTCAGCTGTGTAAACAGCCCGAAATGTGTTACCAACAAAAATATAATTAATTTCTTTCCAAGACAATGTGCCACATAACTTAATACTTAGAATGATTTAACTTTCAGAGAAAGCACCTGAACATTTTCTTTCCAGTGCCAGAGTCGAGTATTGGTTATAAAGGTCTTTAAAAGTGAGGTTAGTTTGCACCGTTCCTGCTCAGTTGCAGAGTTTGTATAGCTTGGAATATATCATAGCTTTAAATTCAAGTGGTGTCCATGAATTTTTGGAAATATCTTAGATCAAGAACTTAATGGATTTGGAATGATGGGAAAGCTCTAAAATTAGATTGTGACAATGGTTGAGTAACTGTAAATTTACTAAAAATCACTGAATTGAACACTTTAAAAACGAGTAAACTTTATGGTGTATAAACTGTACCTCAGTAAAGCTATTTTTTAAAAGAACTTAATGAAGAACTAGATTAAAATACTTTTTCTTTTATGCTTTTATGTTGCATGAGAAATACTTTGCTATAACACAGGAGATATTTCCCCTCAGTGTATTTCTCATTAACCTTTGACTTGGCAAACAGGACAAAGAAATAGACTTCTTATAATTCAATTCTTGTGTAACCTTGAGTGTCTTATGAACCCCATAGACTCCAGTCTTTTGCCATTTTCAGCACTACTCGGTGAAGTCAACAATTGTTCAAAACATTGTTGCCCCATCTCCCTTCAGAGTTAAAAATATTTTCTTTGCTTGTAGTTATACTCTAATGGGGTATGGGATACTGTATGAATTGTCAGTAACTCTTTCAGTTCCTTTTGCGCTTTCACCAGGGAAATAGCTATCTAAAGCTTCACCAGTAGGGGAATGTTTTCATGCTGTGACAGTTCAGCTGTGAGAACAAGGAGCTGCAAGTAGGTGAAATCTCATTTTACACTTTAACGAGGACGCTCTTGGTTTCTAGAGAGTAGAAATAATTTTAACACTGTGAATTATGTCTAGACACCTTATTATAATGCAGAAAATTTGAATATATGTAGTTTATAAAATTCCAGGTTTTAATAATGCTGGTACTAGGAGGAAAAATCCTTTAGTTTTTAATACCTTTTTGTTGTTGGCCTTTTTTTTCTTTTGAGATTACTAATGGTCCTCTGTAGTTTCATCATTGGGTAAGGAATGTTAATTCAGAATTTGAGAAATTAGAAATTTTGAATAGGAGGTCTTTAAACATGCGTTAGGAGTCAGAAAGCTACTTATTAAATGCTTTCACATTGAAAATTAGATCATTTCTAAGCAGAACTATTACATAGTGGCTTTTCTATAAAATAAAAGTAAAACAAAACCACACACACCATACTTTCCTTTTTTCTTTTTTTTTTAATTAAAAAGATTTTGTGAATGAGAGAATGTTACCTACTTTGACCCTTCTGATGGGGGCCATTTTCTTCAGTAACTTCCTGATACATTGTGTTGGGCAGGTTTCACTGGATCCCTGCCCTCTATTTTACAGGAACTACTGTCCATATACAGACTCGCACAATTACAAATACTCACCACACTGTAATTACCTACTAACTCATAAGCCTCTGCTATAGTCATTCCATGCATTGCTACAAGATAAATATTTCTGAAGTGCAAAGTGAACACATACAGCCCTCCTTACTTATTTTCAATGGCAGCCCAATACTTGCTGATTATGTACAGATTTTTATGCTGGCATTTAAAACCCTTAATTCTTTGATCTGAAACGTCTCTTCAGGTTTATTTTCATATACAGGCCCAAAGTAAATGCTCAATGAATATTTCTTGAATAAAGGATTGAATGTAATACATAAAATCTCAGCTTTAGCTAAATACTCATTTTTTTGTTTCTCAAATATACTTGGTGCTTCCTCCCACTTTGTCAATTAATCATACTATTCCTTCCACCTGGAATACCTATAGCAATTGTCTTCTTCCTTCAAGACCTTTCTTTTAGAAATTTTGCCTCTATCTCTCTTCTCATGCCATCTTCTTCAACCCTCTTAGAAATTAGTTTATATTTTTGTTCTTCTATTTGAATTATTTTTATTTTTCCTTATTTTGTTTCTTCTCCCTTCATTTCAGTTTTGCTAACAGATGGGAATGGTGAAAAATAGTTTCCCAGAGAAAGGGGCATCTGATTACATTTTAATTTGTGTACAGCAGTCCTCTCTTATCCACGAGGGATACATTCCAAGAGTGGATGTCTGAAAGTGCAGATACTACCAAGCCCTATATATATACTGTATGTTTTCCTATACACACTTACCTTTTCACTTAAAGGAAACACTTCATGGCTTCTCTTTGGCATATTTGAATTGCCAG